ATGATGAGGATGGAGACGATGATGAGGAGATGTGATTGTTGTTCTCATGCGAGTTTGAGGGACCTGGTAATGCCATGAAATGATTAATGTCGGTTGTGAAGTAAATTTATTAGCTCGTCAGTGATGACGATGATGAAGATGATGATGATTGAAGGCGTTCGGTAATCATGATGATTCTTGTAATAGGAAGATACTCGTAAGCGATGATGATGGTGATGGTGTAATAATGAAAATATATATGAAACGGATTGACGTAATTATATAAATTCAGTTTAATACTTAAAACAATAAATTTAAAAAACCTAAAATAAATAAGTTGTCTTGGATGAAACTCCGTGTACCAATTGCATTAAATAAGGATGATGAAGATGAAGATGGATGAATGAGAAATAAAACAAATAATAATAAAATTAAAAAAGTAAGAAAAAAACTTAAATAATAAAAAAACCACATTTTGCAAGAGTGCATCTCTATTTGCGTGAAGATTGTGTTTTGGCGTTGGAAGGCCCCAGTTCGTTAACAACTGTTAAACGACTGTTCTTCCTATTCTAAGAGTTAACGTTGCCGTTTCATCGGGAGGACATCATCATCATCATCGTAGTCATCATCATCATCATCATCATCATCATCATCATCATCATCATCATCATCATCATCATCATCATCATCATCATCATTGTAGTAGTAATCATCATCATCGTACTCATCATCATCATCATCGTCATCATCATCATCATCATTATCATCGCATCATCGTACTACTATCATCAAGGGTTTTTACTTAAGATGTGAATATTCAACATCATCACCAGCATGTTTGGTTATGATGTGATTTTTAACGTCATCATCTTCTCATCCTCGTCACCATCGTCATTATACTCGTCGGAAGAAACATCTGCAGCATATCCGAGCACCAAGTCACGTGATAAATTCATGAAAGCCTATTGGTTGTTGGATTGAAGAACGTCTGCTATTTAATTGCGCGGTAAATCACATCCTCCTCACGTGACATGTGTTGCATGCTATCCATTCGTGAACTCGCTATCTTCATAATCATATTTCATCATCCATTACACAACAGAAATAATATTATACACAAACAAATTAAGAAGAAGGAGTCGATCAAGAAGAAATATGAAAAAACAAAAAGTTTTTTTGTCGTTTGAAACAAGAGTGCGATGGTGGAAGCGTGATAGTTGCACTATTTTGTTACTCATTATTTGTGTACAGAAAAACATTCCAACAGGCACAAACATCAATCCAACTGCGTGTTGAATGTTGAATCCAAAACTTTATTTAGTACGTATTAGTTGTAAAAGAAGACAGCACAAAAACTAGAAGACTAACAACGATCCCACAGCATGGCCAGTAGTCACAGCAGCAACTATGAGCATGCGACCGAAACACCAACAAAGACAACAGCAACTACAGCAACGTGAATGAATTTGATTACATGAAGTACAGCAGCATCAATCACATTGATCGCATCAACGACGACGAGAGACTACCATTATGGAGAGCCATTCGTCAGAAGGAGTCTCATCATCATACGCACATCCGAAGAATGCAAACTTTATTGATGCCATTAACGTGAATATTCTTCTTATAAACATCTCCTCAAGTCATGTATATCTTCATGAGCATCTATTTACGCTCTCCGTGGTCATCCAATGAAAATGACTGGACCACTGAGCGAGTGAGTTTGTGGGCCGAGCAGTAGCGCGAGCAAGGGATACTTTGGGACTGAAAGCTCCCATAACTAAAAATGTTGCTAGCATTAAAGTTTAACCAAACGAAGTTCCTATATAAATTTGTAATTATTGTTGAATTTTTCATTATTTTTTAATTATTATTTAAACGTGATTATTATTCAAATAAATTAGTAAACAGTTGAGTGAAACCCGATAAAAATTTATTGAATTAAACGGTACAGAACAACATAAAAAATTGTTCGATGCGCAGAACTGGCGAAATTAATATGGCCACCTCAGTACAGTCAACGGCTCTCTAATTTCTTGTTAAAATTGAATCCACATTTAACAATACTGTTTGGTGAATTTATAATTTTCAAATATTTTTTCAAAGTTATTCATTCAAAGAACATTTAATGAAGAAACTCAACAGAGTGTAAATAATGTTACACGTGCAGAAGGCATTGTGTACCGTTAGCTAGGAGAGGCATTAAGGTCTTGAAATCACTCAAACTCTGATCACAGTTAACATCATCATACTTTTAATTAGTATTATTTATTGATATTATTAGTTTTTTCAAGTTTCATCTTTAAATCTTCATAATCATCAGCATCGTCGTCGTCGTCGTCATCATCGTCATCAACGAGTTGTCCCCATCATCTCAATCGCAATCATTGACATGATCCCCCAAAACAAAATCATCATCATTATTATTATTATTATTGTTATCTTGTTAGCAGCATCATTTCCATCCAGCATAACATCCTCACCAGCTTAATCCAATTTATGAGCAACATCTTTTCCACAAAATCAATAACATTCCCTACTACCTGAACTATTTGTAGTAAACAACGACAACATCTTCGTCATCATTGGTTCTGCCGTCATAAAATTCTTTTCTTATTACTGCTATCAGTATTTACTTTTCAACTACTTTTACTACTGATACTTCTTTCACTAGTTCTACAAAAACTACAGTAGTTTTTAATAAGAATTATTATTCGAATTGAACTAGCCCAACCAGGCTACTATATTCATCTATAATTACTACTACTACTATAATTTTTACAATCGCTTCTTCACAGCTACTTCTGCTACTACCTCCACGGTTGCTGTCCATTAACTGCTACCTACAAAACAACAATTTCAGATTATTTGTTCACCACATTATTGCTAATAACAACAAAATGATAAATAAGATTTCAAATATGTATTAGAGGGTGATATCAAAAAATGAAACTCAACACAAAAACGAAAACCATAACAACAAAAAGCAGAGCTTCGAAACGATCAGAATTACATAAATATGGAGTTATATGACAGCCGAAAGTCTCACGATAAACAACAGACAGACAGTCAAACAAACGAACAAACAAACGAACAAACAAACAAACAAACAGACAAAAAAACATACAGACATGTCCATAAAAACAGAACGCCAGGAGGTAGCATTATGTTTAATCTCATTTAATGCCATCTTTTTCATTTCCTAACAAAAAAATTATTGACATTTGAAATATTTTCTACATTTTATTCTAACTTAACAAAAATTAAAATATTCTAAACATTTTTGTAAAAAATTTTATTTTAAGAAAAAAATTTTTAAAAATAACTCTGTGAATTTGGAATCGAAAGTTTAAGTTTATAAGCGGGTGATAAATGCAAGTTGAAGTTATAAAAGCATTGAAAATGACAATAATAGATCAATACGGAACATTATATACACACCGACTGCAATCTACAGCAGGATTGTTGCAATTCAATTCAATCAGCCTTTTTGATCCTTTGAAATTGTTCGGAAAAAATTTCTCGTAAATTTCTTACAAATTCTTTTCACATTTTCAACATTTTTTTCAACATCCATTATGACTTTTTGTTTTAGTTTCTTAATTTCTCCTTCCTTTATACTATTTAAGTTTTAAAAAATTTCTTTTATCGTCTTGCATCGTACATTTTTTCCTTCACAATTCATTTTTCTAAAGCAATAAATTATAAAATGAAAGCAGGCAGTCTGAGCGAGCTACATGCAAGGCGAATTTCATGATGACGCCACAGTTAAGCATGCCAAGCATCTTGCATATATTCGTTTGTGTATACTAATGTTTCTATTGTTCAGACACACACTTGAATGCACACACGTACACTCACACTTTCCCTCTCTCTTCCTCACACACACACCACACACACACACAAGCAGTCACACACACACACACAAGTAGTCACACGCATACAAAAACCTTTTTTATGTGTATACAATGTATACATATAAAATATGGAGTTCAGCCTTACATTTAATGCTGTACATTTTTCTTATGAATAATAACTGTGTACTGGAATACAGACATGCGCGTTACATACATTCAATTTACAATTGTTTGCACTGATGTTTCAAAGCACTTCAATACACAAAATGTTAAATACAGGCGGAATGCATGTTGCATTGGTGGTTATGCTTACGTTTGTTCGCCTCGGTGTGGTGTGTGCGGACAGGGCGCGTGTAAGCATGCGTAGGATGCCTTGAATATCATTAATTAAAAAAAAATTGTTGTTGAAATTGTTGAAAATGAAAAAAATGGGTATGCGTTTGTCCATTTTTGTGTAATTTCAAACATCTGTGTATGTGTGTGTGTGTTTGTGTGTGTATGTATGTGTGTGTGTGTTTGTGTGTATGTGTGGTGTGTATGTGTGTGTGTGTGTGATGTTTATGTGTGTGTGTGTGTGTGGTGTGTATGTGTGTGTGTGTGGTAGTTTATCAATGTGGACAGATCTATTGTTTGAGAAAATAAAGAAAAAATTTCGTTCGCCTCTTTTTCCCGCCATATTTTTCTAAGCGTGCCGAGCTCTTGGGCGAGTTTGATATCGAAAATTCATACAAAGGATTTATGCCGACACACAGATGTGTCTAGACGTGTTATCTCCATTATTTTTCCTGATGTAAAAAAATGTTCTGACAACATTTGCCTGCCTGTATAAAGAGGTGGGCGGGTGTGATTGTGAGTGTGAATTGTGGTTGTCAAATCGTCATGTCATATTTTTGAATGTTAAGAAATGTTTGCGTGTATGCAGGTTATTTTATGTCTAGAAATATTTTTTTTTGTTTACAACATCAAAACGTTCATATGCATTAATTTTTATAAACTTTGATGTTGAACGCAAACATGTTATTATATTGATATGACATTCCATGAAATGCACATACACACGCAAAGACATAGACAGACAAACACACACACATGTACACACAGGCAGACATTTAGACAGACACATACAGACAGACACATAGACAGACAGACAGACAGACATCCCTTTGGATGGAAGTGTATCGACTGACAGCAGTGCAACATCGGATCAATTTTGCGACTGAGACAATCTGATTTGGTATTAGGGCAATAATCTTTTATTGTTGGCTTTATATCTCAGTAGCCACTACGAAATAAGAATGCGAATACTTCAACCATCTGTGCAGCAATAAAACTTCCAACGCTAATAACGCTGATGAATCATAACTTGTTACTGTAGTAGTAGTAGCAGCAGTAGTAGTAGTAGTAGTAGCAGCAGTAGTAGTAGTAGTAGTAGTAGTAGTAGTAGTAGTAGTAGTAGTAGTAGTAGTAGTAGTAGTAGTAGTTAGTTGTTGTTGTTGTTGTTGTTGTTGATGTAGTTATCCATAAGCCATCTAACCTTCCAAATATCGCTTCCACCATCTTTACAGCTTCCATTGTCCTTTCAGTGAGTTCTCCCAATTTTTCTCCTCCATCTTCAGCTTTTGGCACTCCAGCCATAAGTGTGGTACTGTTTCGACTCCCTTTTCTAAACAACAACAGCAACAGCATTTATTTATGCTGTTGTTGTTGTTGCAGTTGTTGTTGCTGCTGTTGTGGTTGTTGTTGCTATTGTTGCTGCTGTTGTTGTTGTTGTGGTTGTTGTTGAAAATATAAGTGCAGCCGATATTATCTGAATTCTTGATTATTCTCACAAGTCTATACATTTAAGTTTGTTTGCAATTTGATCTTAATTTTTTCCCTGTTTTTTCATGAATTTTTTAAATAAAAATAATTGTCATTATAACGTTAAATTGAAAATAAATTAAAATGATGGTGGTAGCAAAAATTAATATGACGCGGAAACAACAAATTATATTAGTACTGAGCTAAAAACGAGGGCCTTATAGAGTCGCGAAGCAAACCACAAACTAGAATTATAAACGGCAAAGTAGTACAGAAAACGACACGAACAAAATGACAATATAAACGAAGATGCTGCAAACTTTAACAGCATAGGCAATGAAAACATAGAATAGACAACCATATAAACAACATAGATAACAAACAACAAAAACCTAAACAACAACATAAACAACAATATCATAAACAACAATATCATAAACAACTACGACAGCAATAAAGTAGAAACGATGACATAAAACAGCAACATCTATCGATACATCAACACAAACAACAACAACAACAACACATAAAAATTAACGAAAACACAATAACAAAACAAACAACAACAACAACAAAACGAAACAACAACTCCAACAACAAAGTGAACAACAACAAGCGCAGCATACTTGAAACGAATGTAAAACAAAAAGAAATTGATCTCAAGACCAATACATCGACTGGTCTGTCAGCAAAAAATGTCGATGTTGCCAGGCTCGTTGCCTGGCTGGATGAAATTGTGTGTGTGGCTTGCGTCATTGTGGTATCACGTGTGAGTGTGTGTGTGCGTGCGTGCGTGTGTGTTTTTGCGTGAGTTAGTGTGTGTGTGTTTAACAAATCAAATTCAATTTTACAACAATCGTTAATCTGCTTTAAAATTTTAGTTGGATGATATTATTATAGTATTTATTATTGTTCTTTTAAGAAATTTTTTGGATACAATATTCAGCCTTACACTATTTGAAAGTAATAACCTAGAAATATGTAATTAAAATTATGAAAAATTGCGCTAATGATTCAGATGAAAAAACCAAAAACAGTAACAAAAAAAAATGCCTTCGTCAGTCATCATAATCAGTCATCTGTTTCCTGGAAAAACATCTGAACTCACTTCAACATTTTCCTGAAAAAACTAATTGTAATTGCAAATATATAAATACATACATACATACATATATATATATATATATATATATATATATATATATATATATATATATATATATATCCTAAGATTTGATCATGTGAAACGATAGTCTTCAAAATTGCAGTTCTTGCGTTCAAATCATATGGCAAAATATATGGCCAGAATATATGGCAAGTAAATTCACCAAAAAAAGCTACATCGACTTTTCATCTCAGTTTGGATGATTTGAATTTTCTGTCTGTGCCAGTTACACGTTTTCAAATTGTCCCGCTGTTTAGAATAGTCTTCCACCGGCGTTGAGAAGATCTGGACTTTCATTTAAATTATTTGAGAAAGAATTGAAAACATTTTTATTTTTGTTAAACTGTAAAAATTGTGACTTTTTTAGTTTATGTTTCTCATACATAGTCACGTAAATTTTGTTTTTAATGTGAGCGCTCATTAAACAGTTTTTTAGCGCTAACAAAAGATTTAAATATATATATATATATGTATGTATGTATGTGTGCGTGTGTGTGTGTTTTGTCCAGAAAAATATATTTTTTCATTAAAGCAGTGTTTTGTATTTTTGAGGCAGAAAAAATATCAGCGTCACCATTCAGTGAATCATTCATTCATTGTTGCAGCTAAACATTGATGTTTCCATCGTTATTTTTGTCATTTTCGACTTAATTTTACAACATTACTTTTACTTTACTCACAACTCAACTCGTTTAAAATCATCTTCACCATCTTCCTCATCATTTACCTCATCTTCATCATCATCGTCATCCTCATCCTCATCTTCATCACCATCATCATCCTTCTCCTCCTCCTCCTCATCATCAACATTATCTTTCTCTTTTTCTTCTTCATCCTCATCATCATCATCGTCATCATTATCACCATCATCTCTTCTTCGTCATTATCCTCACCAAATCATACCAATCTGTTGACATCAGAAACCACAATTAAATCCTTTAAAAAACTATTTTATAACAAATCCTCTGAGAAATGTCAATAGTGTGAATAACATAATAATAATAATAATAATAAATAATAATAATGAATAATCACGTTAAAAATTTAAAGCAGTGGCAACATATTTCTGCTTAGCAATATAATGCGAATCCATAAGAAAAAATAGAACCATTCTTACCAACATTGTGGAGAAACCAACACATGAAACATGACAAACAACATCACCAATGCAAGCAAAACAATTATCAAATAATCAAATCCAATGACATTAGTATCAATACTAACGTCAACATCAATAGCTACAACAACAATATCGACAACAACAACAACAGCAGCAGCAACAACAACAACAACAGCAGCAACAACAACAACAATAATAACAATAATAATAGGACAACAACAACATTGAACCAACAACAACATCGACAACAATAACAAAATCAACATTAACATCAACAACAACTCAATGACAACAACAACATCTCAACAACAACAACAACATTTACTAACCATTGGAAACATAGGTTGGATCGAAGGAGCTGATCTCCTTATATGACGGATAGGTGACCAATGGTTTGATCTGCATTGAAATACATTACAAAAAAAAAACAACCATTTTTTTCAGAACTAATATTACAAAGACGGAAGAAAAAATGTCAGAATAAACAGTTGTAACATTTCTACAACAATTCCTAAATGTAAGAATTGCTAACAAACGTGGTAAAAATATACTTGGCATTTTACTTGATAAGTGAGCGTTCATCTTATTTCTAATCGGTAGTTCTTGAAAAATAAATTTGCTACTGAAAAGTGTTAATATTTTATTTTATTTCTTATCAGCGTTATCAAAATTTCCATAATTTTTCAAACATTGTTTTCAACGATCATGACAGTTCAAAGATTTAAATTATTTTCACCCCCAAATAATCACAGATAATTAATCATTGAAGAATAATTTTATAAAATTTTCACGGACTAAATGTTGAAACGATGAACACAAAAAACCACTAGCAAATTAAAAAAAAATCTGTAAATAATTCATTGAAAAACAATAGATAAGAGAAGCAATTGTTAATGTTGAATATTTGAGCAGCGTAGGCAGTGATGCTTGCAAGGGAGCCCGCGGCAACTCCACTTAGTTTGATGGAACACCCTCAATTATTCATCAGATGAAAAGAGCATTATCACACACGGATCTCATTAAACAACACTATAAAATACATGTAAAATACAATCTATACACATTGTGCGGCACCCATGTCATATTTACAGCGAACGTTTTGCATAGAAACAAAAAGAATGTACACTTAACATAGTTGAATAATATTTGTGCAAACTTTAAATAAAAAATCAATATAAAATCAAGTTTTGCACCATCCAGTTTAATTATGTATTATCAAATTTATGACCCCGACAGTGTGCATAATATGAAGGAGGGTATGTTATACAAAGAACGTCCTAAACGAACGCAAGGCATAAAACACGTAAAAATCATAAACTTATCCTATGCAACCTTCATGAAATATGCAGCGCCTGGAATGTATGCTAACATAAAACAAAAAGAAAAATGCCGAAACCAACAAAAAAACAAAGTAACAACATCCAACGTGACAACTAATTCATGTCTCTTTGTGGAGAGGACGTTCTGCAGTTTAACATGTTCGCTGAGTAAAGAGCACGAGCGGACACGCATAAAAACATTTAAGTGGCATCGTTGCAATTACGTTCGATATAAAAGTTATAACGAACTCATGAAAGCATACTTCATTTATGCTGGAGATAAAAATTCCAACAACGTCCCGACATAAAAAGTTACATCGGAACCTGTTCAATCAACATCTATGTCATACAACGTTGGTGTCTTAAACAACAATAGGATAACGAGAAAACCAATTTCAAAACAAAAACATTATAAAAACTAATTAAATAAATTAATCTAATGAATTAATTGAACAAACCAAAATAGGCGCTCACCTCAAAATTTTTTACGTGGGGGCAAACCCATTCCCGACAGCACCTGCCCTGGACGGCCACCAACTGGGCCCCTCTGCAGTGCTCCAGGGAGGGCACTCTCTCCTCCTGTGGACATAACGTGGCACAGGCATATTGACCGTTCTGACAACTGCAGGCCAGACTGCAGTTCGGCTGGAACTTCTCTCCGTCTTGGTAGGTCTTGCCGTCGACGATGCAAGGGTCTGCTTGGTGGACTGTGGTGGAATGGAAGAAGTGATGATGGTGAGTGGAGTGATGATGGAGTGATGGTGAGTGGAAAGATGATGGAGTGATGGTGAGTGGAAAGATGATGGAGTGATGGTGAGTGGAAAGATGATGGAGTGATGATGAGTGGGGAGATGATGGAGTGATGATGAGCGGGGAGATGATGGAATGATGATGGGTGGAGAAATGATGAGTGGGAAGATGATGGAGTGATGATGAGTGCTGAGATGATGGAGTGATGACGAGTGGGGAGATGATGGAGTGATGACGAGTGGGGAGATGATGGAGTGATGACGAGTGGGGAGATGATGGAGTGATGGTGAGTGAAGAGATGAAGTGTAAAAATATTTTAGTGATGACAATGATGACATTAGTGAAAGCTTTTTAGTTAATAAAAAGCAGACATCGGTGAAGGTGATTCGTTTGATTCATGAAATATGATCTTTTTGATGAAATATCTCCAACGTATATTTCATCAGCTTTGTCGATGCTTTACAAACATTATGAGCATCATTATTCTTTTAAAATTATCACCTTTTCATTCATTATCACATGCAATATAACACAATATAACATTATATTATAATTATTATGAAGCATTATAATCTTGTCAACATCGAATCATTAATATATACTAAAATACTCTATTGATCTACTTGACTTCACTATTAGCTGAAAACAAATTTTTTTGTCATGCCATTTTACTTTCAACTTACTATCGAAATTTTTTCGTTAATGTTGAATGATTCGTGATAATTTTTAATTACATTGCATGTCGATGAATATTGTAGCACAAAGATAAATTGAAATCATAACTTCTTACTCGCTATAAAAAATTCAAAAATTGGAAATATTTTTGTGTTAAAAATTTTTTTAATCAATGTTCAATGAGGGAAAAGACATAAGAGGAACAAAAATATTAACGTGAAAAAAGTTTTGTAGGAAAAATTTTTCGAAATAAAAAATAACGAGAAAAAGTTTACACAAAGAAAAAATTGTAACAGCTTAAAAATTTGGCAAATCTTACCGGCAAAAATTGAGTTTTCATCATAAAACTCCTAAAAAATAAATGAAGTGAAAAATAATAAAAATTTCTTCTCTAAAAGTAAAGTAATGACTGTTAAATAATTTATGACCACATGGACACTGTGGGTAGTTGATCGGACCTGCAGCAGACAGACTGACCAAAGATAACTTCAACTTCAAAATAAAACTCATAAATCCAACATTTTACCTCTTTTTTATTGACTTATCTTATTCTGTTACTGCTTCTTTGATACATTAACATACCTTCCGTTAAATTTTCGATTTCAATATTAGGCAAAATTGCTGCAATGATAATTACATCTATTATATGCCATCAGTTTATATATATATATACTGTATTTTATTATAACTTTGATAAAATAACTTATATATATTATTATTATTATTATTATCAACAATTTATTAAGCGCATTATAAAATTGAAATTTCTCGAAAGCGCTATCTATTATAAATGAAAAGTTCCTCTTAAAATCATCAAGCTTTAGTCCAGGCATTCTGAGCGATTGCGGAAGACTGTTCCAGGCAATTGGTCCTGACACGGCAATATTTCTAGTTGCAGTTTGTAGTTGAGTTGTTGTCACTGCCAGTAGGTTGGCATAGTCTGATCTCAATTTTACACCTGTTGAAGAAGCTGGTTTTTTTAAGATTTTATTTACTAGATATACTGGTAACAACCCGTTCAAAGCCTTATACATAGTCACACAAATCTTATAGTTGATTCTTATTTTCACTGTTAGCCAATGTAGGTCTCTTAAAATGGGTGTCACATGGTCATACTTTCTACGTCCAACAGTTATTTTTGCAGCTCTATTCTGTATCGTTTGAAGAAAAGCAATAGATCTCTCTGGTACAAGCTATTACAGTAGTCTAACCGTGTATAAACAAACGCATGAATTAGTGTTTGCATGGTTGTTTGATGTAAATATTTTCGAACGCGGTATAACTGGCAAAGCTGATTTAGATATGGTTTTTATATGATCTTTAAAAGATAATTTCGAGTCAAAAATACACCCTAGGTTTGTTGCATTTTCACAGAATTGTATTTCATTATTATCAATTTTGACTGAATAAATATTAATTTTAGAAAGCTGTTGCCATGTACCGACAGGTAAAAATTAAGTTTTATCTTGATTCAATTTGAGACAATTTCTTGACATCCATGTACCTATTTTAGTCAAGCATTCAATGAGATTTTCAACTTTGCTTTCAAACAGTTCTGGTTCACTGCTAACTATTATTTGGATATCATCAGCGTATGCATGATATGAAAATCCAAAAGATTCTATTACTTCATATACTTCAGCAGTGTACAGTACAAACAGAATAGGTCCCAGGACTGAGCCTTGTGGTACACCAGATGACATTGCTTCAATACCAGATAATTTGTTCCCGAAAAAAACCTGCTGAGTTCTACCAAACAAGTACGAATTGAACCAATTAGCTACAACTCCAGTAACTCCGTAATCATATTTTAGGCGATTCATCAGGATTTGATGGTCTACGCAATCGAAGGCAGCACTCAAGTCCAAGAATGTAAGGAACGAAACATATTGTTTATCAATTGCATTAAACAACTCAGACATAACATACGGCAGTGCTGTTTCAGTTGAGTGATAACGTTTATATCCAGATTGAAATACTGGTATTGAGCTATTTTTGTGTAGATGACTCAGTTGCTGACTGGCAACAACATATATATATATATATATATCAATATATATATAAACTGTATATTATTATAACTTTCATAAAATAAATAATGACGACAAGAATTTGGTTAGAAATACTGAGAAATGTAATAAAAAACTATCCAACGCTAGAAATTCGGTAGATTTCATAAATTACTGCATATTATATATATATATATATATATATTATGTGTGTGTGTGTGTGTGTGTGTGTGTAGAGGTTTGCTTGGAAAAGATAAGAAAGTGTTATGTTGGAATAGGACGTGGCGATGTGCGGATGGGTGCACTTTATTGCGAATATAAATTTGTTAATCTTTGCCATGTTCCAGCCATACATCGAATGTTTCTTCGAACAGGGTGAGGTAATTCAAGGCAAAAACGGAGCAGCATCAACAGCTTCTTTACATGCAGATCTGTTTATACTTACACACGTACACACACCCACATGCAAACGCCTACACGAACTTTTCTACTTTTTTAATAGGATTTGTTTAACTACATGATTGCCAAGTTGGTAGCTTTATATTTAAAACATTAAATTAGTATTTGCATGTTGAAATTATTTTATTTTCTTTTTAAAAACACGTCTGTTGGGCTAAAAATTAAATTTGAATAACAAAAATAGGGTTGTTATCATTTGAAAATTTTTTTCAAACGTATATTAAAACGTTAGTGTTAAAAATTATTTTGGCAAGGTTTTTTTTTTTTTGTTTGAGATTTTAGCAGGAAATATTTTAAGTTCCATCTTTGAAGACTAAAATGGTTTAAAAATAATTGTAGGTGGATGCATAAAATAGAAATAATGATAACGGTAGAGATCTTCACTTCACTCAGTCACATTTAATGTCTCTCTATTTTCTTTTATTGCCCTAGAAAGCTAAAATGTGTCAACAGAAATTTGCTCAAAATTCAAACTCATACTAAGACTAAAACCACCCAAATATTCCCATCTGCACAAATACAGACATGTTCATATTCTCAGATATGTACACATCCACACCGAATAATATTCACAGACACATCCACACACACACACGTCTTCATGTACATACACAACAATACATACGCACACATCTAGAAAGAAAGAGAGTGAGAAAAAAGAAAAAGTGAGAGAGAGAGAGAGAGAAAGAGAGAGAGAGAGAGAGGTGTATAGAGATCCACACAAAACAAACAGTGCATACAAAAGACAAATTTGCATACAAATGCAGAGCGCAATATGTGTTTGCGTTGCCAACATTCAGATGCTCGCGTTTAATGCTATTGAATAATTTTTAAATTGATACAGATGTGGCATGGCTGTTCTTAACAATTCTTAATGTGAAACAATTCCATAATGGCTCTGATGCTTAAAAACAAGCTTGTTGAACAATTAAAATTCTAAAAAATAAAAACAAAAACTTTCAAAATATCTTAACGTTACACTTCAATGACAGTCATACGCATTTTAATAACCATAGAAAAAAATATTTGGATGACCATTGATGTGAAAAAAATTTAAACTCGAATTTAAATGTGCATTGTACATTTTCTCAAACTACAAAAACACATCCAGTAATTTAAACACGCGTGCGGATTCATAACCGACAAATATGCATGAACATGTACAAAATAAAGCAAAAACACTCACACAAATACACACAAGCACACACATATACATTAATACACACACAAACAAACAAGCAAGAAAAAATGCTTACAATGAATCTCAATATCTGAAAAAAGGAGAAAAATTTGTTCGGCCTTTCTATGCGGTTCAAAGTACGTTCAAGAGATCTCGTGTCCAATATTTATGCACATCGCCGTCCAACGTTCATGGTCATATGCTGCTGTTTCTACATCGCACCATACATATCTTTGTTCTCTCATCTCTCTATTCTTGACACACACATACAAATACTCAGGTATAAACAACGGATTCACATAGGTATTTAAATTAGGCAAATATAATTTTTTTGTGAAATTAGATAAGATACCAGTTCACAAAGTAATTTCAACAGATACGTTATAATATTTATATTACTTTATTTTATTGATTTAATAATTTAGTTAATAAACAAATACATAAAATACAAACAAATACACATTTAGAACAGAAAAGTATAAACAAAACAAAGAATCCAGAAATAATATCTCCACATCATTTTGAAATGTTTCGTGTTAGTGTCACTAGTGTCACAAATGTCATTCGAGGTTGTACCATTCTATGTTTATATGGCATGTAATAAAATGAATAAAGTAAAAAAAAAACAATCATTTTTTTTAAATATTTTAAAAGTTTTATTACAAAGTGTTTTGGAGATGTGATACAAACGCCATACATTGGCAAGATATATCAGGAAAACGTTTTCTCGAACGGATAAGAATAAATGCTGAATCACACAAACTCAACGACAGAATGACAATAGTTATTTAGGAGAAAATTTTAAAAATATTTTATGAAAAAAGATCATTAAATTAAAAAATTATTTAAATTCAACTAAAAAATGCCAATAAATCTTCTTCAATCGATTGCTATCTTATCTTGTTTGTGTCTTCTGCTTGTTTCAGTTTTTCTCCATTCAATTTATAAAGATTTAAAATCTTGGGATAACATACATCTTGCGACATTTCATTCACTTTCATTCTATTTGTTTCCTTCTCTTGTCTCACGCATTCCAAATATATTTTGCATCATGCAATGTTTATCAAGTTGGATAAACGCTGAAAACTTTGTAGATTAAGTTATTTAAATAAAAGCCTTAAAAATATTCTTTCAAAAATTCAAGAAAAGATTTCATAATTATCTGTTTCACGTTTTTTGGAAGTTAAAAATTTATTTCGACATACGTAGAAGAAAATTTAAAACAAACCAAAATTAATCTAGAAACTTGAAGGATAAAAAAACAAAAGAGAAAGTGATGTCTGATTGTGCTCTGCATAAACATTTTTGACATTAAAATATGAAGTTATTGCATTGAAAATAAAACCGTAAGTATTGTACATTTGTTGTACGGTATTCAACCAACCGCAGTGCTCCATCAGAGGCGGCTGGCTGCCTGAAACCGGGACTGAATCTTTCAAAAAATTTATCTGATATGGTCAAGCATTTTTGTGACGAAGTAAATAAAAATAATAAAGTAAAATGACTATAAAAGAAAATTTTGCTAATGAGGTTGAAGTTTATATGTTCATATTTGTAACAAAAACTCATTCAGTTTATCTTTTGAAAATTTCTTACAAAATCTTCATCATAATCATACAAATACAAATAATGTTCTTACGTGAATAAAATTTGAAAATTGCTGGGAAAAATTGTTTCATGATTATTCAAAAATTCATTGTTATCACCATTCATCCATGCTTTCATGCTGTGATATATGTGCTTTGAAAGTAAATAGTCGTCATATATCATGGTTTCTTGCAAAAAAAAAGTTAAAAACCCTAGTATACAAACGTGCATAGAAGTGTGTTGTATTCTTATGTGCTCAAGTAAATGCGTTGATG